AGTACTAGAAGTGTGGCACTATAAAAAAATAAAATTAAAATTTAACTATTATCCTTGCGTTTTGCTAAAGAACTATTTTTTAAATATGAGTAAAATGGAATTACAGCCTACAATGTAAGAGGGTATTGTAAAGTATGGCAATACAGTTTTGCAGACTTATAATTGCAAAAATACCTAAGAATTCTATCTTCCTCATTCTCTCCAAACAAGTGATTGCTCTAACTGGGGCTTTAAACAGTTGAACAGCCTGATTTTTTATTTTTATTTTTTTTGGAGCACTTAAATACAATTTTTAAAGTATTCAAAAACTATAAATTCCTGTGTAGTCAGTACTGAAAAGCAATTTGCCAAATAGCAAATTATTAGGCAAAGGTGTACATTTCTGCCATATGTTATTTCAACTCACATCTTTTGCACTGAGAGAGTCAGAATAATTGCTTTGCAGATTTCCAAACAACTAACATGTCTAACACAGTCCATCCAAGAAGCAATGCCAGCCCTAAGAAATGATTTGCTAGCTCTGGAGACTACAGTTCAACTCTTCTGGCTGCCAGATAAATCAGGCTCAATCCCAGCTGCAGACAGGTCTTTTAGTGGTCCTAAGAGCCTACCCCCTCCCTATTTTAAAGGGCTGTAAATAGTAAAAACACACATGACCCAACTTTTTCATATTGGAAAGCACTGCAGCATGAAAGATTTTTTTAAAAATGTGATGGAACATTGTGCACAAGAAAAGCCTATCCACCAGTACCAATTTTGAAGCAATAAAAGTTACTCAGTAATAACTATTTTAAACATGAAGTCTGTCTTGAATGGGAACGATGTACCTAAGTCACAGCATTAAGGAGACAGGCAAAAATCAAATCTGTAAGAAGCAATGGATGAAGACAGACAGGCATATGTTAGAAGAAATAAAGGTAGAAGAATTAAATTTTTTACTTTAAGAGTATTATGACAGGCTTAATTTGAATTAAAAAGGATCTCTTGGATCTGTACAGTAGAGATCGTTAGAAACTGAGAAGTCAGAAGTAAAAATTATTTTAGTATTTTGTCCAAATTTGCATTTCAAAACTTACTAGATGCCACAAGATATTAATTAACTGCATCATATCTTACACTACAGCCATAACATTCAAAAGGTTAAGGTTAATTAAGAGTACTTGCAATTTAATTCACATCCTTGCTGTAAGCTTATGCTAAATTTGTATTCAGGGGGAAGTTTCTACTAATGCTTGTCTTAGTCCAATTCTGACTTAACTTTG